CGAGTTTGAGCACTCGTGGCGCTTACCCCACCTAATGTTAAATACTCCCCATATACCATAATATACCACAGTGGGGAGTATGTAATATTAGGGGGATGGGGAGGTTTAATGTTAGGGCCTGTTAGGGGAAAGGGATTAATATTGCACCCTGAAGTTTGTTAGCCTTGGGTTTGGGGTTCCCAGGGCTATATTCCAGTGCGCAGGGATCCAAACCTCAAAGTGCAAAGCCTAAGGGCTTGGGGCTTAAAGCTTACAAACAAAAACTCCCTGCCTCTAGTTTCCACTCTGTTGTCCCCCTAGATGGGTTGTTCTCAAAATTAGGGCCCCTTTTGGTTACGGCACCTAAGCATTACGGGTCCCAACATGGGACCCAATTTTCGGAACTGCCCATATAACCCCCTACCGAGATCCCCTGAACCCTAAGCCCTAATCCCTAAACATATGACCCCCCTAAAGATCCCTGGTGGGCCAATGTTCATCAAACTTTTAGCTTGCGGAACGCTGATAAAGGCAAGGCACCCTGAGAGCAGCGAAGCATCGGCTACCTGATTGGTTTGAGGATTTAGGGTTTCGGGGTTTTGGGGTGCCGAGTTTGGGATTTAAGGGTTTAGGGTGTAGGGTTTAGAATTTAAGGTTTAGGGTGCACGGTTTAGGGTTTAAGGGTTTCGGCTTCCAATAAGTGGAAACTCAAGTGGAAAAACGAAAGGAACATGAAATCGAAACTGGCATTGTACTGGGATATGCGTAGACTTTAGGCTTAAAATGTGATTTCGAATTTCTCAATTTCCGACCAACAGCCAGCAAGCACACAGGGCTGAATGGTCTTCTTGACTACATTACAGGATCCCAATTTGGGCTGTCTCAAGGATACCCAGGGAAGTGTAGAAACGTTATGGGGGTCTGTTTCTCTAGAACACTCATGGACTTCCCAAGGGATTCACCAAGATGATTCTTTGGAAAAATTCGGGGCTTAGAGAGGCCATGCAGGACTACCCTTTATTTTCAGAAGTTAAGGGTTCACGTTCAGGGCTTAGGACGTCATGCAACGCAGGCAAGATCATGAGGATTTTGTAGCACGGTTCTTGGGATGCGTACACCTGAAGATAAGCTGAGAATTGTAGGGCTGATGCAAGCCAAAGCCCTCGTCAGCCTTGGCAAGACACGGTAAATCCTAGACCCTCAACCCTCAAACCCGAAACCCTCTTTGCAGAGTTTAGGATGTCGGAGGTTCCTCACACATGGTATGTCAACTTGCAGCAAAAGACTCCTCCGAGCAACTTCTGACTCTACGCTTCGCAATAACGAAACTCGTCCATTTGAAGTCCGTTTATCCAACCAGGGTCCAAGACATGTCAGCACGCGGGAGGCTGACAACAAAACAACCAGAAGCAAAGGCAAAAAGCAGCAAACAAGGATCACTCTACAAATGCCCCAAAATGTTTCGATGTTGGCACATGTTGAGTCAACCCTATCCTCGGCCATTAAACCACCTCAGCATCGATAGCACTTGCACAAAACCAGTGTACCCCCCTCACCCACCCACCCAGTAATCAGTACCAGAATACCCCCAAGATAGTACCATCAAATGCTAGAGGACTGCTTGGTTAGGGAGGGTTTTATTGGGGAAGGGATTAACTCTGGACCCTAAAGCCCTGTTTGGTGGGGGCCTATTCCATTGACTTCTTCTCAGATGCAAGACCTTGCTTTAAAGCCCGCCCCCTGGGGCCAAACTCAAAAAGCCAACGTCAGCAACCAAACTTACTGGGGATTAGTAGGGAGATGTAGGGGGTATGGGAATATAGTATATATGAGCTATATAAGGATTCTATTCCCTTATTCCTTACTACAGGTAAGCAAATGCATCCATGCTGCGTCCAGCCAGTCGCATCTGTGTCGAAGCATCGAATTCAGTCCAGCAAGATTTGCTTGGAGGTCGTGGAATCTTTTGGGAAGTGGTGGAATTTTTTGGGGAGGTTGTCAAGACGATGGTCCTTTAAGGTCACCATGGTAGAATACCACGACTACGACCCCTTACATCTAGAGCAGATACCACAAAAGGAACCATAACTTTAATCACCTATGCTTTCCATTGAAGGGTTTTCTCAAAAAGGTGGGCCCTAAAGACCCTGGCACATAGGGATTATGAGGGGATGATTGGTCTTCTACCCTGAACCCTAGACTCTATAGAGGTTCTATTAGGATTATTTTGGATAGCACCTGTTCGGGATCCTTGTATAACTTTGCTTTTGTGTTCAGAACAAGCTGATCAGGTGCAACCTCATAGCTGCCGGCGGAAGGACGACCCACTACGGCGAAATGGCAATCACTTGGGGATATGTAAGACTATATTCAGGGCTTAGGCCAATACCTGCAAAATGCAATACGGTCAGTCGTGTGGATTGCGCATGCCTGATCACTCATGTAGACATGTACTGCTGCACGTCACCAAAGTGCGGAACGAGTCAGCACATCATCAAACTGAACGCGGACGCCAATGTTGCAAAGCGGCAGAATTCTCTCTTTTTCTCCCAAGGTGCCAAGCTCACTGCGGCATAGTAGCGAGGATGGGAATACAGTCCCTACATGATCCCTACATAATATATTCCCTTGTTCCCTACTGACTCCAGCAAACAAGTGGCTCTGGCAAAACGCTGTGAGGAGGCAGGCAAGCGCGAGATCGCGAAGAGAACCTGAGACCACCGGTTGGAGGCTGCAAGATATGCAAGGCTCCCAAACCATATAGTCTCACGTTAAGTAGATAGAATATGGGGATCCTATGATGATGTTGGGCAATTCCTCTAGCGCTATATGAACAGTAGCAAGCAAATCCTTGAGACAAATGCAGGGCTCTCAAAAGGCTCTCCGAATTAGCTTGCTTCTTTGACAGGTATCAGCACCTCATGACTCGACTGCAGGCCCGGGAAAAGCTGCCTGCTCGGTTAAGGGTTTAGGGTTTAGGGTTAGGGCATCTCCCGACAAGACATGGTTCAATTTTCCGTCAAGTTTCTGCGTACCTCTGTCTCTTGCTGAACAGACAGCAAGATCAATGCCTGGCAACTATACACGGCTTGTCATGCAATAGTTGCATGAAAAGCCTTCTGGCCAAACTGGGCCAAGCAGATTGGGCACACTGGCCCAATCTAGGACTCTACCCCTCATGTATGACATCAGTCATATCTCGTGTTTGACTGCACAGCACAAAATGGATAGGTCTGCAAGAAGTTAGAGGCGTATTAGCCTCTTACAGCCTATGGCGTTTCAAAATCTTATATCCTAGCTGTATCCTGATGCAGTTCCCCACACGGATGTACTTCTCTTCGGACATTCCCAAACAAAAGTTCCCATAATAAAAGGATTACCCAGGCGAACGGGGACGGCAAATTATGGGGACCTCTCAGGATACCGTTTTAAAACTACCCATACCGGGTGGTTGACGGCTTTAGGCAAGCAAGGTGGGAGTGAAGATTCCAAGTGCAGCAAGGACAGCTGAAAGGTAGCCTTCCGGCAGAGCACCATGGGCGTCCGACGCTTCGTTGCTCTGGGCGAGGGTGGTGGTGGTGCTGCTGCTGGTGGTGCAGAGCGGATCGTAGGTGTCCCCAGAAGCATCATCATAGACAACATAAGCAGTGCTCAGCGGGCAGAGTTGACAGGAAGTCTGAGCTTGCAGGAAGAAGGGGCTGAAGGAACCCACCCCTGACTGCTGCGTGGCCGTTTGCGAACCTGTTCGAACATGCAGGGCTGCTGTCGCCAAATCCAGTGCTGCAGGGCCATTGCGGGGACTCAGAGTGGTGGCACTGAAAGGAATGGACACGAATCGTGCCGCCCGAAGGACCTCCAGCTTGCAGAACTCGGCATCGTTATACATCCACTTGATCTTGTCGACTGCGCTGTCCCAGGCAGCGTCAACTACAACAATGACATCGGGAGCAGCAGCGACGATGTCACTCACATTGACGCAGACCCAGTTGCCAGAGCGGTCAGAGAACACGTTGCTAAGGCCTGCCTCCTGCATAAGCATGTTGGGCGCCCCAGTTCCGCCCCCGACAAACACCTGCTCCTCCTGGCCATCCTCCACTTGGCAGCACCGGCCTACACAATCCAGCCAGACAGTCTTCAACCCTGACCCATGCATCCCAGAAGAGACGAGAGCTGCAGCCTGGTCGAAGTCCGCCTTCATCTCGGTCACCAAAGGCTCAACATCGGTGCCGAAGATTGACCCAAGGGCGCGCATCTCCTTGTAGACGGTGTCTTCCGTCACAGTAGCTGGGCGCAAGGAGCTATCTTCACAGGCATCCTCAAAAAGATAGGTGCTAATGCCCGCCGCATGCAGCTGCGGGCGGCAGGTTGTCCACGACTGTCCCCAGTCAGAACCAAAGCCTGCGCATGGCCCTATGGTGTTCTGTGAGAAAATTCCCCTTACCCGGCCGCCCGAGCTGTAGTTGGCACGGAAGGCAGAATTGTACGAAGCCACGATGAAGTCTGGGTTCAGCGCCATGATCTGAGTCTCGTTTGGATAGCTGGAGCTCAACACGGGGATCTGGGCATAGCTGGTCGCATACTTTGGCCAGATGGCATCATCCAAATACGCAGTTCCCACCATGCTGCCCTCCAGGCCCATAGCCAGCAGGAACTCTGTCGCACCCTGATTCATCGTGATGACACGACTTGGTGCAGAGGCAACCGTGTTGGACACGCCGCAATTGCTTATGGTTACTGGATGCGACGCGGCAGCAGCCAGCATGAACGCAGCGCGGAACACGGAGCCAGGCATCCTTCAAAATCAGGTTCTAGAATGCTCACGGGTCTTCAGAAATGCCTGCTTCCAGCCAAAACTCTCCGAAAGTCAGACCTCCACGCCTACTACTGCACAGCATTCCTTACAGATATAACAAGGAGCTTGTGACAAAACTGGGCAAACATGAATTTCTCATATTCACGAATTTTCAAAACCTCCGTCTACTCTCCCAGTACTGACTGCACGGAAATGCAAACGGTTCGTATTCTCCCTGCAGGAACTTTGCCAGTCCCAATCTATTGCTGCACACTGCTGCGCTTTGTCACTGACGTTTAGCCGCTTGCGTGGGAAAGAGGATGCCAACTTCGTCACCCAACAAAGAAGCTGTGTCGGCAGTGGCGCCGCAGGTAGTTGCGGCCATCTCCGGCGTCCAAGCACTGGTAGTAGTTGCAGCTGCAGCAGTAAACAACAACCGTAGAACTAGAATCACTAGAACATACTACAGTAGTAGCAGCACTGGGGTCATTCAACAATACAAGGGGGCACTCTAAAGATCTCTGGAGCACTCAGAGCCCCTCGCAGCGAAGATCAACGAGGAGATGATCGGACCTGGATTCCAGAAGTGAGGACCGAACGAAAGACAGCCGTAGTTTCAGGTCCCCATGCCTCAATCAGCAGCTCGAAGGACCTGTACAACAAAAAGGCTGCCGCGCAAGGCTCAGTGGAAGAAGGATTCTTCGTGGCACCCTACGTAACGACTTGCAAATACTTCTGCACACTCCCGTGATGTTTGTTCCAAGGGCTAATTTGATGCCCCTCGCTACACATCCCATGCTCCAACATGGTGCTTTCTTGGCGCGAAATCCCTACTTCAGCACATCCGGCCTTCGAAGAGCGAGGGCTCAAACGCGCTTGCCATGGCTCAATTTCTTGTTGTTAATTTTTGCAGTCTGCTAATTGAAACTTCGCAAAAATGCCGTACATAGGCTGGAGATCACCCTAGTGAAAGAACCCTCGCAATTAAACCTGCTCAGTCTTCTGGCAATAGCTGGGCTGAGTAGCCAGCATTTCGGCTGGCATTTTACTGATGCTGGCAACTTCATTCAGCAATTGACGAGTAAGTTTGGAGGCAACGAACCTGCCGGTCCTGTTGCGCAAGACTATCTCCCAGTTGGATGATGACATCTTGCATCTCGTTGTACTTTTCCTCTGGCATGGTGGTATGTCCTCGTTGCAGCTGATAAGTTTCCGGCCATGAGCGTTGGGCCTCTACCCGGCTGTGTAGCAACTCTTGCCGAACTCAACGCACTGCAAATAAATGATTCTAGCGGGGCAAGAGGGTCATGGGGCCCAGGGTGGCAAGAGTGTGCATACATCAACACTCCTTCCCTCTGTCGGAAGGTCTGTGAGTTGGAGGGAGCTCATCTTAACTCACCAGGCAAGCGCAATACTTTATCGCTGGTTTGAAATCTCATGCTGTTAGTTCCGGGGACCCTCGTGCAGGAGTAGCTGCGGGAATAAGGGCATGTCATGTTGCTACCTGCGTGAGTCATTGCTCGTGATCTCAGAGTGGATCGAACTTTCGGCACCCCACAGTAGTCGCACCGCAAGTGGCAGATCTCGAAATCCCGGATGATCTTGGAATGTAAACTGTCAAACGCGACTGGTGCCGGATGCACACTTCATTACGTGCTATGCATGGGTTGCACTGGAGCTTGTGACTGAAGTCGTGGGCGACAAGGATGGTAGACAGTCCCAACGCAAAGCAGACTTGGTAGAAACATCACTTGCGTGGTCAAGGCCATTGGTGCGAATGGCTACGTTGTTTATTCAGGATTGCTTTGGTGGTTGGTGAGCCTGCGGGGTGCCTCTAAAATGTCGGGGTTTATCTCTCTTGAAATCCAATGGTCATAATGTTAGTTGGGAAGTCGGTGCGCTTTGGAAAAGTCACTTCACCCTTCCGGGCATCGAGATTGTAGTCTCCGTAAGTTCGCATGCGTCAAGAGAAGAGAAGTGGATTTGTGGGAGTTGGACAGTCGAGAATGGGTACGTCTCAAGGGCACTCAGGCACTCCGTCTGCTAAATCTGCTAAGCAAAGCCCGGCATGCGTGGATGGGCAATGAACGCACAAAGTTTTCTGCTGAAGCCGTCTGAGATAGGATCTGTCATGTGGGTTGTGGTTCAAAGAAGGCCCGACAGTCCCCTGGAGCTTCGATACTTCATCGACAACCTCAAGCAGCTTTCTACAGGGTTGTAAAGAGACTTAGGAGGTGCATGCTGTATCACGCAGTCACATGTGCAGCTATATGGATCTAAACGACATGCTCGGATTCGCGTCCTTTGCACCTGATGGCTCGAGGTCAGGCACAGGATTGCACAGGCAGAGTGGTAATGTTCACGGGCAGTGGTTTGCTTTGCCTCACTATGTCGCCAGACTGTCGCTGCACGGATGCCTGGGGCACCTAGACTGATGCAATCGGCTGAGACGTTGCCCATGGGATTCGAATTATGTGCATGCTCAGGGGGTTGTTGCACATGAATATGCGTGCTTTGGCTGGCGGTAACAGTGCTGCTATTTTGCCCTGCACAAAGGGAGCTGCTCTCTACTGCAGCTGGCTGAGGGATCAGCCATGCCATGGAGCTGTTACTGTCCCCCGTCCCCGCATGAGAGTCTGGTTGCCGACATGATGACAAAGATTCTGCAACGTCCTGAATTGCGTCAAATTCGAAGTATGGCAGGTGCCGTTGCAAGTGTTTGACAATGAAATCTAGACACGCATGCACTACAGACGCATGGGAGGCGCCAAATGAGCCAGCAGTACGTGAAGAAGTGTTCTAGCACGGGCCTTACCGCAGGAATAGTCCATCAGGGCAAGATGTCATGAGTTAGTATGCCACTAATCTTTTGGGTCCGCTGCCCCTTCACGTTGCTCGGTCATTAGTGCATCTATGGGGCCCCATCCTAGTAATCAAAAGAGAATCAGAAAACTTAAAAGAAAGAACGAAACAAAACAAAACAAAACAAACAGACGTGAAAAATGAGGACTGGAGCTTTTAGCATACTGGCACAAAAAAAAATATATACAGCATTTGGAGCTCTTCAAAGGACTGCAGCTAATGGGCATTGGAACGTACAGCATTAGGAGCCCTTTACGCACTGCAGATACGGTATTTGGAGCCTTGCAAAGGCTGCAGGTACCGCAATTTGCCAGCACTCGGAATCAAAAGAAGAAAAGGCTACATCTCAACTCATTTGGAATTTTTGAATTCTTCCGCAGCTGAGATAAAGAATTGTAAGGAGATTCCTGACAATGCAAATCAAAGCGCTGTGGGCTTGCACTGCTCCTAGCCTCAACACTTACCACTACAAGAGCAAAAAGGCTCGACTCCTTTTTCTCTGGGTTGCTCTGAGTGTTGTGCAAAGGAGGGCTTGAAAGGCTCGGGGCTTCAAGTCCGCGTCTTCTTTCGTTCCACCCCCTTTTTAGTTGAAACGTAGGTTGAAAATCAGTTCAGAGGAGTGGGCCAAACGGTGGTTCGGGCTTTGTGAGACTTTGTAAGAACCGAGTCGGAAGACAGCGGCGGGCTTTGCATGCTTCGTGCACACAAGTGCGACCTAGACGGAAAGGCAGCGTTCCGCTACCATGTAAACCCTAGACACCCAACAGACCCCAACACCAACTCCAACCAACACACACACAGCACAGCGTGAGCTCCACTTTGGCGCACACAAAAAGCGACGTGTCTGTTTGCTTCTAGCCGTAGCCAACTACTCTTCCCTATTATCTGCACAGCTGCAAGCTTGCCGAACTGCTTCTTGAGCCTTCCGTACTTGAGCTAAAGCTCTTTGCTGACACTGACTCCAAAGACCAAAACTTGTAGACAAAAACTATGCCATGCAAAGAATGCCGGTTGCATCCAAAACTATGCCAAAACAGACTTGCAAACCACTCTCAAATCTCGTTCCACAACTGTAATGGTCTCCATAGCAGTTCTCTGGCCAAGAAAGGTCTATGTCTATGACATGCATAACTCTGCATCACTTCACGTAAAGTCACTCGCACTGATGCCGCAAGCAGAAAGATCATTCCGCTTCCGACAAGCGGTTGTGGGCGCGTATTGCTGACCCGTCCAACAGGAAAGCCGACCGCAGGTGTACCGCTCTCTCGCTCCAACACGTTATAGGCAAAATGTATCGCTGGCAGCTGATGCGTGTGCGCACGGTTCACATACAGGAGTAGGAGTTTCCTTGACAACCTCCAATTTGGTTCTCTGAGTCTTTCGGAGATTCGCAGTTTGAGGCTGCAATGTCAAGATTCCGCTGACTTGGATATCGTTTCCTATGGGACCTTGGCCGCTTGTTGGCAGCATTTGCGTCAGCGTGTTAGGGTGGTAGGATGTGCGTTAAAATCCCAAGTTGGACGGACAACTTAGGAACCGAGGCAGTGCGGAAAGTTGTTCACTGTCTGCAGATTTGTGCAGCGACTGGCCATTTTACTGCAATCATAGCTTGGACGCTTCTAACATCGCGGAATATCACAACGACTCGGCAGACTGGCTAAGCCTCTGGAATCAGCAAGACCCGCTGCAGAAATCCCTTTCTTTGGATCATAGGGTGCGTTGCATGTTGGATGTGTTATGGCATAATGAACGGGATGTTCGCTTGTTTCCCCCCTCAGCCAAGTTGTTATGGAAGCCTCCATTAGCATCTTTTGCAAAAGATTGATGACGGGACCGTCATTGAG